TCAAGCCAGGCTCGGTGGCTCAGCCTGTAATCCTGCGCCTTTGGGAGGCTGAGATGAGTGGATTGCCTGAGCCCGCGGGTTCGAGACCCGCCTGGGCAACTTGGCAAGACCTCATATCTACAATAAATCAAAAAGTCAGCCGGGCGTGGTAGCGCGTGCCTGTAGTTCCAGCTACTCGGAAGGCTGAGGCAGAAGGATCGCCGGAGCCCGGGAGGTCGAAGCTGCGGTAACCGGGAGCGGCCACTGCACTCCAGTCTGGGCTACTGAGTCAGACTCCAACTCAAAAGAAAAAAAAAAGTGTAATCTGTGGAAAGCGCTCAGTCCTAGTGGGCTCATGAGTTGAATTTACAGAGAGAACGGAAGGCAGAAACCATCAGGTAAGCACTGAATGCCAGGGCCAGGAGTGCAGTCTTATAGCTTGGCCACTGGCTCCTCTCACTTTCTTTGCTGTGTTTGTGCAGCTGAATGTATCAAATGTGTGTATCAAAAGCAAACTCTCACTTGAAAATTCTTTCCAGTGACAAGATTCTTTCTCCTAGACTGATAACACAGAGCTCATGTATTAATAATTGAAATTGCCGGGCTTGGTGGCTCAGCCTGTAATCCTGAGCCTTTGGGAGATGAGGTGAGTGGATTGCCTGAGCCCGCGGGTTCGAGACCCGCCTGGGCAGCGAGACCTCATCTCTACAATAATCCAAAAAAAAAAAAAAAATCAGCCGGGCGTGGTAGCACATGCCTGTAATTCCGGCTACTTGGAAGGCTGAGGCAGAAGGATCGCTGGAGCCCAGCAGGTCGAGGCTGCGGTGGTCGGGAGCGGCCACTGGACTCCAGTCTGGGCGACAGAGTGAGACTCCAACTCAAAAAAATAAAAATAAAAATAAAAAAACATTAATAATAATAAAGAAGCGATATGTTTTGTTTTTGTTTAAATACAGACTTTCCAAAAATTATAACTTAGCTTTTAACTAAAACCCCCTAAAGTTCTTATAATAATTGAAAATACTGTGCTTATTACCTTAAGGAACCAAGGCAAAGAAAACTGGGAGAAGATTAAATTCTTCCACTCTACTATACACTTGGGGAAAGGCCAAAAGCTTAAAGATTTTCTGAGACTTTCAAAAGTTACTGAAGTAGTCTGCTGCCAACATCTTCCAGAAAGCCAGCTCAATAAAAGTGTTTTCTTTTGAACGCTGGAACGGAAAAGAGCATTACAATGCTGAGAAGTGGGAAACTTGGGGTCCTAATTACTGAGCTCCTATCAAGTACAAAGATCCAGAGAAGACTGGGAATGTAGCCGATATACAATAGTACTCTGACTTAATGCTTGTTTACATATGGGGAAAAAAAGAGACACCTGAACTCTTACAGATTCTTCCCAACTCGCCAGGCATGGTGGCTCATGCCTACAATCCCAGCACTTTGGGGGCAGAGGCGAGAGGACTGCCTGAGCCCATGAGTTCGAGACCAGCCTGGGCAACAAGGTGAAAACTTGTCTCTATAATAAATCAAAAAAGAAAAAACTCTCATGGATCTACTGCATTATTCAGACACCCACTTTTATTCTTTTTTTTTTTTTGAGTTGGAGTCTCACTCAGTCGCCCAGACTGGAGTGCAGAGGCCGCTCCCAGCCACCGCAGCCTCGACCTGCTGGGCTCTGGCGATCCTTCCGCTCAGCCTTCCAAGTAGCTGGAACTACAGGTGCGTGCTAACACACACGCCTAATTTTTTTATTTATTGTAGAGATGAGGTCTCGCCTGCCCAGGCGGGTCTCAAACCCACGGGCTCAGGCAATCCACTCAACCTCAGCCTCCCAAAGGCGCGGGATTACAGGCTGAGCCACTGAGCCCTGCTACTTTTATTCTTTTTAGTAGGGGCCTCTCTCTGTTGTCCAGGCTGGAGTGCAATGGCACGTGCACAGTCACTGCAGCCTTGACCTGCTGGGCTCAGGCGATCCTTCCACCTCAGCCTTCCAAGTAGCTAGAATCACAGGTGCACACCACCATACCCAGCCGATTTTTTTGATCTATTGTAGAGATGAGGTCTCACCATGTTGCTCAAGCTGGTCTCGAACCGCTAAGCTCAGGCAATCCTCTCGTCTCTCTCTGCCTCCCAAAGTGCTGGGATTACAGGTGTGAGGCACCATGCCCGGCTTCAGATACCCACTTCTAAAGTGATTACCTCGTCTTTACAATAAATTAAAAAACTAGGCTCACTTATGCCTGTAATCCCAGCACTTTGGGAGGCGGAGGCTAGAGGACTGCCTGAGTCCAGGAGTTTGAGATCAATATGGGCAACCTGACAAGACCTTGTTTTTTTTAATTGTGGAGACAATTAAAAAAAACAAAAACAAGCCGGGCATGATAGCACAAGCCTGTAGTTCCAGCTACTTGAAAGGCTGAGGGGAATCACCTGAGCTCAGTGGTTCGAGGCTGTGGTGGTCTTGAGTGTGTCACAGCACTTCAGGTTGGGCAACAGAGAAAGACTCTAACTCAAAATAAAGAAATAATAAAACAAAACACATATGCATCCTAAGCCAACTCCAAGAAACTGATCTCCCTTATACATACTTTTGCCCCTAATATTCAGTTGTATATTAAAAAGGCAAGGACATGCTGTATTACATCACTAGCACACCTCTGCAGAGTCTGTACCTGAATTTACATTCGTTAACACTTTGCTTACTCCCATCAAGAGAAAAATCCTTCCCCAGTCTCCACTGTTCACCAGAATCTCCTCTCACGTCAAATAAAAGAAAGAATGATTTTAGGCTGGGCACAGTGGCTCACACCTGTGATCCCAGCACTTTGCAAAGTCAAGGCAAAAGGACTGCCTGAACCCAGGGGTTCGAGACCTGCCTGGACAACTTGTGACCATGACATCTTTTTTTATTTTTTGAGTCAAAGTCTCACTCTGTCGCCCAGCCTGGAGTGCAGTGGCATGCTCATGGTCACCGCAGCCTCGACCTGCTGGGCTCAGGTGATCCTTCTGCCTCAGTCTTCCAAGTAGCTGGAACTACAGGCACAGGCCACCACACCCGGCTAACTTATTTATTGTAGAGATGAGGGTTTGCCAAGTTGCCCAGGCTGGTCTCAAACCCGTGGGCTCAGGCAATTCTCTCATCTTGGCCTCCCAAAGTGCTGAAATTGAGCCACCATGCCTGGCCTAATTTTTTTGACTTATTGTAGAGATGATGTCTCGCCAAGTTGCCCAGGCTGGCCTCGAACCCCTAGGCTCAGGCAATTCTCTCACTTCCGCCTCCTAAAGTGCTGGGATTACAGGCATGAGCCACCGCACCCAGCTTTAAATAAGTTTCTAGTCAGAATAGAACCGCCGCATGATTGCACACAGCACTCACCTTTCATCATATAGTGTGCTTTTACTGTCAAAACATTTTCAAATCTATGATCTCATTCTAGCCTCACTACCATCCTGTGAGGAAGGTATGCAGGGGTCATTAACAATTTCATAAGTGGGAAAAATGAAGCACAAAGAGGTTAAAACACTTACCTGACTCTCTTGATACTGTAAGAAAGGGATTGGCAGTGGTGGGACACTGCCAGAGGAGGAGGGCACCTAACATCAATAAGGGTACCCACACTTTACCTGTATGATGACCGTGTATGTCCCGAACCCTCATCTGTACCCCACATTTTTTAAATAAAATAAAATAATTAAAAACAAACGTCAAAAAAAACCACTTACCCGAGGTCGTATAAGTAATGGTAGCCAAGTACCTGCAACTTTTGCCCTGGGCTTAAACAGTAGCCAATGGTGCTCCAACTTTCTTACCCTTTTCTGGTCAACTTTTCCTCTTCTCCCATTAGGTCTTTTCTCATTCTATTTTCTAGGTTTAGTAGAGGACCCTTAAATAATTCTTAACAATCCCTTTAATGACACTTAGGGGGAAAGGGTGTTGACTTAGGAACCACAGAAGTGGCTGTGAATGGGTGGTCCAAGATGATAGCACTTGCCTGTAGTTCCAGCTACCTGGAAGGCTGAGGCGGAAGGCTCACCTGAACTCAGCATGTCGAGGCTGCAGTGGCTGCAAATATGCCACTGTACTCCAGCCTGGGTGACAAGAGTGAGACTTTAACTCAAACCCCCCCCCCAAAAACCAAAAGAACCTTATATGATGACAGAAATGTCCTATGTGCATTAATATGATAGCCATCAGCCTTATATGACTGCTGAGTGCTTGAAATGTGTCCAGTAAACAACTAAGAAACTGAATTTTAAGTCTTAATATCAATTAAATTTACTAGCTGCATGTGACTACCTATTAGACAATACGGTTCTAGAGCATCTTCAGACAACCTCCTGCAGTATTAATGACAACCACATGTACCTTTATTATCAGTATAAATAATATGATATGCTCTATGATGCCTTTACTGGAAGCTTTTCAGAAGTGGTACCATAATTCTCATTTTACCTGTTATTTTTAGAAATGTCCTTTTCTCCCCTCTAGGGTTAAATAATAGAAGGTGGAGAAGACGAGTCCACAGCATGTTTTTTGACTCTGCTTATGCAGACTGAACAAATTTGAGTACCTTAAAGATACTGCCCCAAATTCAGACTTACCACCCAGATTTATTTATTTATGTATTTATTTTTGAGGTGGAGTCTCACTCTGTTGCCCACGCTGGAATGCAGTGGCACGCTCACAGCCACCACAACCGCAAACTGTTGGGCTCAGGTGATCCTTCCGCCTCAGCCTTCCAAGTAGCTGGAACTACAGGCGCGCGCTACCATGCCTGGCTGATTTTTGATTTACTGTAAGGACAAGGTCTCACCAAGTTGCCCAGGCTGGTCTGGAACCCCTGGGCCCAGTCAATTCTCTTGCCTCCAGCACCCAAAGGGCTGGGATTACAGGTGTGAGCCACTACGCCTGGCCACTCAGATTTATAATGTCAACATTATAATAACGTCTTCATTTACAATAAAGACATCCTCTGTTTTTCTCTTTCCTACCACTACTCATTATACAAGAAAGCAAAGGATACAAACCCTAAGAATTTAAACCTTCAAATATAAGACTTCCTGGTTATACCAAAAGAAGCAGGTAAGCCAGACCTTCATCCTCCCTTCTCCCATGAGGCACCCATTTGCCCAGGCCACACTTCCAACAGCACTTGAATGAATGAAGCCAGCAGGATAAAGTAAACCACACTCTGTGAATCTATGCAGTTAATAAGCAACATGCCAGCAAACCCGCAAAGGGGAAGTGTTTGCTTCCCCAAGAGCAAATGATACTTAAGAGTGGCAAACATAATCTATTATTTCTAGCTAAAACACAATGGAAGAGACCACTGGGTCAGTCCCACGGTCGCGTGTTCTTGCCTCTGTCTGGAGCTAGACCCCACTCAGCTCTACCCCCCAGGCCCCAGAGCAGTTCACCTTGAAACTCTGTGTTATCAAGGCCCCTTATGGCCTCCACCGCATCCTCTGCCCGCTCCATGTGTACGAAGGCATAATCTTTCACGATGTCACATTCGATGACTGGACCATACTCCTCAAACTTGGCCCGAAGCTCCTGGTTGGTGCAGGTGGGGCTGATGTTGCCCACGTGTAACTTGGTGGAAGCTTTGCTCTTATTCTTGCTGGCTTCCACGTTGATGTTCACCCCGTGAAGCTTGTAGTGGTGCAGGTTGCGTATGGCATCCTCGGCCGCCGTCTTGTCCTCTATGTGCACAAAGCCGTAGTTCTTAATGATGTCACATTCCAGCACCTTCCCGTACTGCTCAAAGAGTGAGCGTATCTCCTGCTCTGTGGCCTCCCGGGGCAGGTTTCCGATGAACAGCTTCACCATCCTGACAAGAGCCTGGGACAGAAAAACAAGATTTCAGAAGTCAGGGGTGGGACATTTCAGGGCACTGCAGCGTTTTGGTTTAATCCGTTCAATCCAATCTTGGCACCTTCAAGACCCTCAGACAGACGTTCTTTATTCTTCCTCAATAGAAGAAGAATGGTGCGTTCTTAAGAAGCAAGAGCTCTGTGTGACATGCGAACGGAGGTCGAGGGTCGGCATGTACAGCTTGGTCCGTCACCTCCGTGCAACGGAGCGCACTTAAGTAACAAGATGAGCTGTTCCGTGTCTTAAAATGGGAGAGGAAAGAGAAAAGCCCAAGCAGGCAAGAAGCAGCTACCGGAGTGTGCCTGGAAACAAGGTTTTGGAGGGAAATCCGTGTGCTTCTCCTCCGCGCGGTACCACCTTTCAAGATACTCGAAGAAAGAGGCCCCCTTTGCCCCGCACAGAAACCAACCCCTCCAGCCGCCCACCCTCCAGCGCCTTCGCCCCAACAAAGACTCGACCCGACCCCTGCCCCGCCCCCTTCCGGAGACCCGGCCCCGCCTCCTCCCGTTGTCTTCCCGGACCTCCCGCAGCAAGACGGGAGACCCAAGGCCCGGGCCGTCCCCCGGCCGCGGAAGGCCCAGCCTGGCCCGCCCCCGCGCTCCCCACACACGCACAAGACCCCTTCGCACCTCCGGGTGGCGGCGGCTCCCGCGTCAGAGAGAACCCCACAAAATGGCGACGGCCGCTCGAGCCTCGGCGCGACCGGGCCCCTTCCTCGCGCGCCAGCTCACGCACGCGCGAGCGCGCACCGCCTCCCTCCTCTCCTCCTCGCAGGAGCCGAGTGGCCAATCCCGCGGCCCCATACAAGGGACCGCCCCGCACGGGGGCGGAGCCAGCCGGTGACGCCACTGTGCGGCGGAGGTCGGCCCGCCCCTAGCCCCGGCTAGCCAATCACCACCCTGGGAGGAGGGGTCACCACTCTTGCGTCAGAAGCGCTCTGGGCGCAACCACTGTCTAGGTGAAATCTGAAGCCTGGGGGAGTCACCCACCATCACAATGGATCGTGCTATTAGGACGACGGCGGGGGGGAGGAGCGGGCAGCTGATGACAAAGGCTTATCAGACAACCTAGGTCCCCTAAAAAGGGGCTTTCTTAGAGGGCTGACCCTAGTCTCTGGCATCTTGGGGCAACATTACAGAAATACAGGCGCGCTACATTTGAAACAAACCTAGTCATTTTGGGGGGAGCGCTTTAAACATAATTTTAATAATTTTCATGGCAAACGGTTATTTATTGGTGAGGAACCCAAGAACCAAGGATCGGAAACATGATCCGGCAGAACTGGGACAGGTCCAAGAGGCCTTTCTACCAGGCTGCACTTGGCCATGTTTTGTTTGCTCTTGTATATCCGTGGGCTGGTTTTCTGTCTCTGGTTGGAATTATAAGCTCTACTCTTGTGTCCATCACAGTTTCTGGTCTGTAGTGAGCACGCACCGGTGGAATACTTGGTGGGGAGGCCCAGAGGGATTCCTTGTTGTGGGTGGGACAGTGTCTCCTCACCCACACCAAGCCGTTGGAGGTCTAGGCAACTGTGAGTCTACCGACACTTTCCAAAATTCAAAATTTAGCCGTGATCCAAGGGCACCTCCTGGTGGCAAAAAGGAAGCTATTAAGTGGATTACTCACTGTCACCCTCCAACAAAACAGAAGACGCTTATGGAGATTGATGGATTTAGTTTATCTCTTAGTACAGCACGCCAGGGTGGTTGTCAATCAGCATTCCTCATTGTGGTGGAGGAGTAATGACTGACAATAGCATTATTTTTTTTTGTTGTTCTGGGTCTCACTCTGTCGCCCAGGATGGAGTCTCACTTGGCTACGGCAGCCTCGACCTACTAGGCTCAGGTGATCCACCTCAGCCTTGCAAGTAGCCAGAAACACAGATGCGTGCCACCATGCCCAGCTAATTTTTTGATTTATTATAGAGCCAAGGTCTCACCAAATTGCCCTGGCTGGTCTTGAACCCCTGGGCTCAGGCAATCCTCTTACCTCGGCCTCCCAAAGTGCTGGGATTGTGGGCATGAGCCACCGCTCACGCCTGAGGACTTGCCATCTTGGCCAGGCTAGTTTCAAAATCCAGGGCTCAAGCAATCCTCTGGCCTCAGCATCCCAAAATATAACAGCTTCTAGAGTACCATAAGTGCAAATTCTCTGATTGTGCTCTTCTACCCCAGCTAATGGGATATGTTTCTTTCACTGAATTCCTTTTTGTTTCCTAGCTATTTCAGAGAGGCACAGTCCTTCCAATTTTTTTTTTTTTTTTTTTAGTTGGAGTCTCACTCTGTCATCGAGACTGGAGTGCAGTGGCCGGGAGCGGCCACCGCAGCCTCGACCTGCTGGGCTCCAGTGATCCTTCCGCCTCAACCTTCCAAGTAGCTGGAACTACAGGTGCCCGCTACCACGCCCGGCTGATTTTTTGATTTATTGTAGAGATGAGGTCTTGTCAAGTTGCCCAGGCGGGTCTCGAACCCACGGGCTCAGGCAATCCACTCACCTTGGCCTCCCAAAGTGCTGGGATTACAGCCTGAGCCGTCGAGCCCGGCCGGTCCTTCCAATTTTAATAGCCAACATGCTTGTCTCCTACCTAATTCTTTTTCTTTTCTTCTTTTTCCTTTTTTTTTGGTCAGAGTCTCACTCCTGTCACCCAGGTTGGAGTGCAGTGGCATGCTCATGACCACTGCAGCTTCCACCTATTGGGTTCTGGTGATCCTTCCACCTCAGCCTTCCAAGTATCTGGAACCATAGGCATGTGCCACCACACCTGGCTAATTTTTTGATTTATTATGGAGACAAGTTCTCGCCAAGTTGCCCAGGCTGCTCTCAAGCCCCTGGGCTCAGGCAGTCCTCTTGCCTCTTCCTCCCAAAATGCTGGGATTACTCATGTGAACCACACAGCCTAGCTGTCTCCTACCTAATTCTATTTGTTTCTCCCCTTTTCCTCTTGGGCATTTCCAGTTTCTCTCTACACTTAGACTTTTTACTCTTGAACATGTTTAGAGACCTCCTTAATCATTTCTGAAATAGCTTGCACGAATCTTTACTATTATCATTTTCTCATTTTTTCTTCAGTGTTGCAACTCAGGCAACTCAAATGTAGAATCTGGATTTGTCACACATCTTCCTACACTGTACTTTGGATTCTGTTCTCACCAATTCCCATAATTGCCTGAGGTCTCTAAATTTTTTTTTCTTTTTGAGTTGGAGTCTCTCTTTCTTGTTTGTTTGTTCTGAGTAGGAGTCTCACTCTGTTGCCCAGGCTAGAGTACAGTGGCATGCTCATGGCCACCGCAGCCTCGACCTACTGGGCTCAGGCGATCCTTCTGCCTCAACTTTCCAAGTAGCTGGAACTACAGGCGCGTGCCACCATGCCCAGCTAATTTCTTGATTTATTGTAGAGAAGAGGTCTCGCCAAGTTGGCCAGGCTGGTCTCGAACCTGTGGGCTCAGGCAATCCACTCACCTCAGCCTCCCAAGGCGCGGGATTACAAACTGAGCCACCAAGCCCGGCCTTCCAAGTATCTTGAAACCACTGGCACACACCACCATGCCTGACTAATTTTTTGATTCATTGAAAGATGAGGTCTTGCCAAGTTGTGCCCAGGCTGGTCTCGAACCCCTGAGCTCAGGCAATCCTCTCGCCTTGGTCTCCCAAAGTGCTGGGTTGACAGACACTGTTCCTGGCTTTCTAGCCACCTCTTGAGTGCACTCAGAGGCCACATGTGGCCAATGGCTGCTACCTTGGCCAGCACAGATGCGGAGCCCACCCTTGGAGGTGGTGTTAGGTAAGAATGCAGGTATGTGTTTCTCTAAATAACGAATCCATTTTTATGTGTCTCCCATTGGTTTGTGGTGGCTGCATTTTCATATTTTTTTTTTGCTCTAACTTGGTTCCTGTGTGCCTCATGGCCCCATCCCATCTGTGGTCTTTTCTGGAACTTTTCTTCCACCCACATCTGAGGGCGTTTCCCAAGACTGACTTCCTGACCCGCTGCACACCCTCTTCTGTGTCCTGTCCTTAAGAAATCATGCCCTAGCTGGGCTCGGTGGCTCAGCCTATAATCCCGCGCCTTTGGGAGGTTGAGGTGAGTGGATTGCCTGAGCCCACGGGTTCGAGACCCACCTGGGCAGCAAGACCTCATCTCTACAATAAATCAAAAATCAGCCGGGTGTGGTAGCGCGCACCTGTAATTCCAGCTACTCGGAAGGCTGAGGTGGAAGGATTGCCAGAGCCCAGTGGGTAGAGGCTGCGGTGACTGGGAGCGGCCACTGCACTCCAGTCTGGACGACGGAGTGAAACTCCAACTCAGAAAAAAAAAGAAAAAGAAATCATACCCTACAGCGGTTTCAACTGCCCGTGTGTATGCAGCCACTGCTCAGACCACATTTTCCGTCCTGTCTCTCCCCTTTACAATGCCTGCCTTTTGCAGGACAACTTCCATGGGCTGCTCTATTGATGCATTTTACGTGAAAATGATCATTTCTCCATTTATTTTTTCCCTCCATCTACATTTCCTTCTAAAATTTCCAGTTGTTGTTTTCCCACCAACCACCCAGGCTTGCCAACTTGCAAAGCAAATACCCAGCTTCCCTGATCACACCCACAATGTGTGACTGTCCCTTCCTTCAAACAGTGGAGATTTATAGCTACACTTGAGGAACAAATGAAGTGTCTGTGGAGTGCTGACTTATGATTCCCTTCAGTCCCATGAGATTGTTCCAGTTACATTTATCCACCTGTTTACTGTGGAATACAGTAGAGTACCCATCTTAAGATGGCTCGGTACTGTGGAATCTACCATCTTAAGAGAAAGGGGGAATTATCCTGTAGGTTGCCCGGTCTGCTCGATCTCGTGTGTGGACCCCACCCTGGAGTTGTTCTGTGATAGTCCTGGACCTGCACACCCCTGACTCTTTGTCATGGTTGATGACAGTCAGGGCCCTTGGCAATGACTCTAAAGATGGTGCTGTGTATAAAACAATGAAAGAATACAACTTTTTCTGTAAGAGGCCGCCAAGGAGTGGTCACCTCTGTCAACATCTGGGGCCAAACACTATTGCTCTGAAACCTCCAACTGCCAAGGCAGAGATAAGGTAGAAGACACCTGTTCCTTTTTACTATGATTTTTATTTTTTATTTTTTTGAGTTGGAGTCTCAGTCTGTCGCCCAGACTGGAGTGCAGT